AACAGGAACTTTGGTAAACGGGAACTTTGGTAAACGGGAACTCTGGCAAACGGGAACTCTGGCAAACAGGAACTTTGGTAAACGGGAACTTCTTTGACTGAGAGCTACAAAAGTGAGTTACTTCTGATTTTAAAAATCAGTAAATAAGAAAACTCGTGTGGTGCATGAAACTACTTAGTTCTGTGAAGTACGGGGATTATGTAGTACTCTGAACTATGGGGATTATGTGTTTTCTGAGGTAAGGGGGTTATGATTACAGAGATTATATAGTACTCTGAACTACGGAGATTAGGGTACTCTATACATGAAGGTTATACGTCAGTATACTCGACATGACAGATAAGACTATAGAAATATTTATTAAGTAAATCGTGAGGTGATAACTTACAATAAATGAAATTGTGATTCTACACAAAACGAAACCAACAGACTTATTATTGCGACGCCTTATTTGGAAATTAATCTTTAAAATTAATCATAAAAATATATTTTCCACACAACACGTTAATATATATATATAGCTTCCATAGGTTGTGTGTATATAACGCGTTAAATTATAACTATTATACGGGATGTTAAAATATAGGTACAAATCGAAGTGTTAAAATGTTGTAAACATTCCAGCTGTTAAAAATTTTCGCTTCGCAGTGACTGTAAACAAACTAACATAGTTTAACGTACTGATTAAGACGAAGTGTTAGTATTACTAATTGTATATTGATTCGGACTATTATTCTCGTCCGTCTGAATAATTATATCCTTAGTAAAAAACTAGCACATCAAAAACAGTGACAATTACAACTGTCATAGAGGGCGCTAAATAACACCAAATATAATGTCTTGTTCACCTGATAATCTGTTACATCACGATATTCTAAATATCGCCTCACAAATGTCTAGAGCAATTCTTTAATTTACCCAAGAGTGCAGTGTAATGGTTATTAAATTCGGCATAAACGCTAACAGTTTATACATAAATTCAAAATACATAATTTAAATTTTGTTTTACTTATAAAAGAAGCTAGCCAAACGTAATGGTTGGAAAATGTTTCTTAGGTATCGTCAAGCGGTGTTTCAGAAGTACTTATCAATCAGATTTAGTTTATATTTCAGGTAACATTTAAAATTTTATAATAATTTAAAGTTACAACGTGTTTTAATTTGAACTCAAAATCAGTTTTGGCATTACTCAAACAGCGTCTACATCTAATTAATTCAGTGTTCGGTGATGCTTTTACTTAAAAAAATATTTAAACCAATTAAAATTAGTTTTACTTTTAATTAAACAACAACCAGAGCTAATTAAATTCAATGATGCATTTACTGAAAAGGGCGTTTGACCATTAAAGTCATTTTTGAAGCCACGAACTGGATATTCAAAAGCTTAGAAGTGCAAAGAAATAATAAGAAAATCCTAATAAAACTAAACATCAGTAACACGAAAACCCATTTAAAGGAGAATGTTAAACCTAATTCTTTTCTACAAAAAGTTTCATTTTTAGAAATGAAAAATCATTCCAAGGTCTCGTAACATAATGCCTTACGAAACAAGTCAAAAAGATTACAAATACATTTAACAGATGGCAGCACATTCCAGGGCTTATATCGTTCTCGTAACATAGAAGAACAACAAGGGACTTTTCGGTCCTTCTACGCCGTTCCATCAACTACATTTAACGCTAAGTAACTGAAAGTCATTCCTTATCATTCAGATATTCATCAAGTCTTCCCTTAAATTAACTACATCCCCCACAACTGAAGTCAACCCACTCCAAAGGCCCCTTTATTAGAAAAATATAGCTGAAGATGACTCCTACGCTGCTCAAACTTGTTTATATCCCATAGTTTACTATTCTCGCCATTAAATGCTGAACAAAAAATTATGCATTAACACTATTAATTCCCTTAACAGTCTTAAACACCACAATAATCCCGTTTGACTGAAACCCATTTGTAACAACCCTCTGCTTTCTTCCATTTAGCCAGTTTTCTTTCCAATGTGCCAAGCTCCTATAGTGAGAACCTTTTTAATAAGTCCTTCATGTGAAACCTTGTCAAATCCTTTCTGAAAGTCCATATATAGCCTTACCTCCATCTAAACAAGTAATAACTTCTGCAAAGAATGTCAAAAGATTAGTAAGGCAAGACTCCCCCCTAGCGAAACCATGTTATCTAACAAAATTTTAAATTTTGTTAAATGACTTTGCAAAGCATCTTTTATCAGACTTTCAAAACATTTTCCCACCACTGATGTAAAACTAATACTTCCTATCAAACATATTTAATATACGGATGTGTTATAAAATAAAACATCTTTTGATAAACGTGGTACCTCACAGAAGTAAAATGTTGGACCTTCAAATTTAAAAATATCAACAAAAAGTTGTTTTACATTCAACTGAGTTTGGTTTTCTAGAGGTTCTTACGTGAATATAACTAGGTGCCATCTGGTGAGTATGCCTTCCATCCGGTGAGGCAGACCTTTTGCATCATACAAAGTTTTTTTTTTCTTCTGTCAGTTACATCATTCAGCACAAAAAAACTTACCAAAACGTTTGTGTGAAATCGGATCCCAGCAATAATCAGTGCCATTAATCAGAATATTAATGGTCCTTTTGTTTATATTTGAGTGTGAGAAACTCGTGTACTATTTGGGATCTCGTAAACAATGAAGTTATTTGGTACATAATGGTTTGGAAAAACGAGTTTAAAAAGTCCATGGTGTTTATATGGACTCCATCGATAACTAATCCAGTTCCATTTTCTCTAACAACTATTTGGAAGCGAGGTGGTCCTAGATATTTATCGATGGAGTTACTTTTTACACGCCCCTTTGTGGCTTAGCAGTAAACCTGAGGGTTTCGTTACCCGCAGTGGGAAGAGCACAGATAAACCATTCTATAGTTTAGCGCTTAACAACAAACGTCATATATATAAATATGGTAGTTTATATTCAAGCCTTCTTACCTCGCTAGAAGTGAACTGGAATTTGTTAGCATTACACTTTTCGTGAGCCAACTAAAGGTGGTGTATTCAAATTATATTTATTCTAGTTTTAAATTCGCAAATTAAGCGCGTTTTTAGAAATAAAATTTAATAGCACGTATCGTTCATATTGATAATAGTGCGCCATCTAGTGATTTCCACATAATTCAAAATTTATTAAAGTTTTTCTTCTTCATTTAAATTTGTTTTTGTGTTTGTTGATAAGAGCAAAGCATAATGGTCTATCTGGGCTCTCTACCCACCGCGTGTATTCAAACCCAATTTGTAGTGTTGTAAGCCTTTATATTTACCGCTAAGCCACAGAAAAAAAAACTTATCTCAAATTAGTACCGAAAAGTTTACTAGGTCACGATTCCATATCGTCGTACATTTTATTTTTTGATAAAATTCAACAAATAGAATAACCATTCAACATATTTTGCATTAATTTATTGCCCTTAAATTCACACGTATTATATTTTAATATTTTAACATTCATAAACGAGCTGAAAGGTGACAAAATTAATTACTTACAGTTCGAATGCATGTTTAAATAAAATTAAAAAAGAACAAAGAAATGCTTCATTCATGAGACAACGGTTTGTTTTTTGTATAGTAGCGGAAAGGCTTAGGCTTAGCAAACGGTCTAGTAATTTCAACAAATAATGGATAATATTTACTAAAAACATTATAATACAATCCCAGCATGTGATCTAAAGGGGGAGGGGGGCAAATTTTTAGTGAATCATATTCAATAAACAAATTCAAATATAATTTTAACTTCCTTGCGCTACATACCTTAATTTGTTTGTCCTGGCCATAGGAAAGAAAGTAGGCCTAGTAATAACACACATTAAAATGCCTATAGTAAAGATAGTTTAGGTATAATTATCACACCCCAGTGTCACGTTTAGGTGTTCAATTAATGTCACAATGTCAACACATCCCGTTCCATTTTTTAAAACCAACTTTCTTCATTGTTGATGTTGGGAATACATTTTTTATCACAAGGATCTATGAAAATTTTAAACAATGCACTTAAAACATATATTGTTTCGTGAATGGGCAACAATAAATGATTTTTTTTTAAATAAATGTCAGCACAATAATCCATTAACAATGTGAGTTTTCTGAAGTCAAATTGTTCATCTTAGGCCTAATTTTTCTTCAGTTCGTCTATTAATTCACTGAAACATCCAGCAAACCATTTTGACTCTTGTTTAACCTTCTCTCTCACCTGATTTCCACCGAATCCAATAAATCCATCCTAAAAACGGTAGAAAAAAAAATAAGGCAACTCACAAAAAACAACACATTGGTGAAAACAACTCTTTGCATAATCAAATACACGAAGAGAACTTTTTAAATGTAGTTATTTATCAGACTTTGAAATAAGTATTGTTTCCTACCAGGTTGTTTTTTTTTAAGCAAAAATCAAAGTAATAAAATCTAACAGCACAGCTAAAACCTAAGAGTTTTTTTTTACATAACGTCTTTGGTGGTTACATTCTGAAACCACTGTTGAATAGAATATCATTCTGTGGGAGAGTTACCACAGTCTTCATGAAAAACAAACACTGTTGTTAGCATAATCATGTGAATATTATAAGCACTGTAAAATAATAAAATACAAAAAAAGGTATTAAGTGGTCTTAAAGTTATTAAACTGATTTCTGGGCAAAATTTTTCTTACGGTATGACTTAAAGCATTCTTTTGTCACACAATGGGTTGAAAATGCAACATTATACATTTTTAAGCCATCAATAAACATAAAAGTATCTAAAATTCTTTCTTTAAATCATGTCATTATTTACACTTTTATATAAGTAGAGTACTCTTAAATAATATTTTTTATATTAATGTACAATACGTACAGCAGGAGGACACGCAGCAAGGTCAGTAGCGCCATCTCCTACCATTACTAATCGTTGATAACCATAATACTGTTTCAAATACTTAACAACTTGAGCTTTTCCATCTTGCCTTGATGTTGGCTGGTTTTCATCGAATCCAGCATAATCTCCTAAAACAAAAACACTGATTAGTGATTGTAAACTGAAATATCAAAGACAAATCTCAGGATAAAAAGGAATTCTAATTTATGCATTTACACAAGATATTATAGTCTAGAGGAGCTTCAATAATAACATTTCAGTATCTTTTATTCTAAAAAATTCCTAAATTCGGTTCATGGTTACCTAAGTTACGCAAGTCTTAAACAAATATTCGTTCAATGACTGAATTATGTTGTATAGCCAGAAAAGATCATTGTGTAATAAAAAAAAGACAAAAAATAAACAGTTTATAAAACTGTCACAGGTTAGAATCACCTTCAATCTCAATTCATAGCTCTAACAGAACACCTGAATTAATCTAACACAATCAAAAGGTTGGCTTTACATATAGGGCATATCTTAGTTAAAATTTGTAATTGTTTTTAAGATGTTATTGGTAGTTAAACATTGTACTTTTAAAACTATTTGAGTCAATGATCAAAGTAACTGTTTTAAGAAAAAAAAAAGACTTTTTTTTTTCTTTCATTACAATACCAAAGAAAAAAAGTTTTAATTTAAGTAAATGCTTGTTTCAAGCTAAAGTTGTGTTGTTGTTTTTTTTAATATAGATTCCTTGCCTCAGATTTGAACAGGACACCAGTCACATGCCAGGCTCTACCAACTGAGCTGAAGGTTTAACCCCACAGCACTTACTCTTAAGCTGCTTTTTAATAACTCAACCTAACAAAAAATAAAATACCTACAATTGAGAAAAATCTATAACACCCAATTACCAAATTAAATATAAAAAAAACAAGAATTTATGAAATACATACAAAAAACGTAATTTTCTCTTTCCTTCTCGATATTTACCATTAAAATAAAACTTGAGGCGATTTGCAAAAATGTTTTTCATTGGAATGTCTAATTCTCGAGCAACGGGTTCAATGATGGTCTGGAATCCTCCAGATACCAAGTATACATGGACACCGTGTTGATGGAGAAGTTTCACAAGTTCTCTGTAATACAGACATAGACCACTGAATGTAACGAATACTTTAGCTGCTTTATCAAAAAAAAAAGGCCTTTCAAAATTTTACAGACAGGAACATTCTGTATTGACTGATTTGTCAGAGGAATACACTCGTTAGCATAACGTGTAGTTTACCAAGTAATTTTGATTTTACAATACTGTTTATGAGCATCACAATTAGACAGCGTATAGTAAAATACAACTAACAGAAAATGTAATTTTGTTAAGAATCTCGCATTAAACAATCTCCAATTAATGGCTTAAATAGCATTTAAAATAAACAAAAAAAAAAATCACCTCAAACTTGATCATAGAATTTTTATTACTGTGTAGGTAAATATTGATTAATAGTGTAACATTCATAATAATAATAATAATATTTTATTCATTCTTTTTGAACATACCCAAGATTAGTGTTTCCCAAATTGTGGCATGTGTCCCCGGATATGTGGTTACTCATTATGAGTTATATAACAATAAATGAAGAAAAAAAAATTAAATAATGGCATATGTTCTGACAAAAAAATGATTTTCTTAAATCTAAGAATGGATATTGGACCCAATAGCTGACGATTATTGAATTTTAATAATTGTTTCTAAGTATCTCGATACGTGTATGTATAGGCAAAAAGCCAGCACCATATAAAAAAATGATGAAAAAATATAGAAAACAAAACACATTTATCCACTACTGCACCAGTAACACAAACACAAAACAAGAAAATAAAAAATTATAACAGTTGTCGAGAAATTACAAAATCTATAATTTTTTTTAAAGGAAAATGTTTACATTTGAGAACTATTGCTGTGGAAATTACTCTTCAGATTTTATACTTTTTGCTTCCCCAAAAAAAGGGACCAAAGGTTGCCTGCAGGGGGGTCACCTGTTTTAACCACTTGCACCATTATACAGTAGTGTGTTGTCTGTCAGTCAGTCAGTCAATAGACACTAAAATGATGTCACATAAGGGATGTTGCAATTTGTACTTTCGTGACGTCAGTAAAACAAGCACATGCTACAAATCATAAGAATTATACACTCCGTAGGCTACAAAACAGCAATGAGATACGAATTTAAGAAGCAAAAAACTAAAATATTTGTTAACTCTTAATTTTGGTTTTATTTACTCTTGAAAGAGAACACTTTTAGGGACCATGCAGAAGTACATATAGTACTATCTTGATGAATGGTATAATTTTTAATTTTCTTGTGTGTGTGTGTGTGTGTGTGTGTGTGTGTGTGTGTGTGTGTGTGTGTGTGTGTGTGTGTGTGTGTGTGTGTG